CCTCAAGTTGTCATTAACAATCACAAATCCATAGACTTTTTCTCCTAAACTAGCAGTGTTAATGGGTACAAATAAATTCATGTGAAGGACTTCTAAAAGTCTAGAGTTGATAATATCCTTAATGAAATAGAAAGAGGATTAGACTTGCTTCCCTAGTTTATAGGCATCACATAAGTGGCCCTTAGTGAACTTAAGCTTGGGGACACCTCTAATTAGGTCTTTTTAGGTCACTCTTCTAAGAGTTTTCATACTAGCATGACATAACCTCCTGTGACACAATCAAGACTCATCAGCGATAGTTTTTAAGCAAAATAAAGAAGCATACAACAACATCAAGCCTTTATCCCACTACGTGGGGTCGGCTACATGAATCTTTTTTCTCCATGGTGTCCTATTAAAAGTCAAATTCTCATTTAAATCTAATAAAGAAAGGTCATTCCTAATATTTTCTAACCAAGTCTTTTTAGGTCTACCCCTACCTTTCTTAACATAAGTCAAATCTAATACCTCTACTCTCCTAACCGGGTCATCGAAGGCCGCCGTTTTATGTGACCAAACCATCTAAGGCGACACTCTCTAATCTTATCTTCTACTGGAGCTACTCCAACCTTTTCACGTATATGCTCATTTCGTATCCTATCTCTAAGGGTAAAGACACTCATCTACCTAAGCATCCTCATCTCTTCCACACTTAACTTAGTATTATGCTTCTCTTTTAATGGCCAACATTCGTCACCATAAAGCATTGCAGGCCTCACTACCATCTTATAGAATTTTCCCTTAAGTTTGAGGGGTACATTTCTATCACATAACAAGCCCGATGCATTCCGCCACTTCAACCATCCAACTTGAATTCTACTGATAATATCCCCATCTATTTCACCATCACTCCACCTTGTGTTTGAACACATGTAATAGCTCCTGCATACATATCTTTAATGATTTGAATATAAGCATTATTGACTCCTTTCTTTTTAAGAACTCTCCATAGCACTTCTCTTGGAACTTTATCATATGCTTTTTCTAAATCAATAAATATCATATGTAGATCCTCCTTATTTTCTCTATATTTCTCCATCAAACCTCTTAATAAATGTATGGCTTCCATAGTCGACCTACCCGGCATGAATCCAAATTGATTTTGAGAAACATTAGTATCACGCCGCAACCTATGCTCCATAACTCGCTCCCATAGTTTTAAAGTATGACACATTAACTTAATACCTCTATAATTCGCACAATCTTGTGCATCACCTTTATTCTTAAAAATAGGAATTAACATACTCATTCTCCACTCATCTGGCATCTTTTTAGTCTTCAAAATAGTATTAAAAAGTTTAGTAAGCCATGAAATTCCTTCATCTCCTAAGCATTTCCACACCTCTATTGGGATATCATCAGGTCCAACAGCTTTTCCACCCTTCATTTTCTTTAAAGCCTCTCTAACTTCAGTTTTACTAATACGCCGATAAAAACATAAATCTTTATTTTCATCTAGGGTGCTAAGGTCACTATAGTCAATCTTATTTTCACAATCTTCATTAAAAAGTTTAGCAAAATATCTCATCCATCTTTGTTGAATATCATCTTCTAAGAAAAGTATTTTTTGATCTTCATCTTTAATACACTTCACTTGAACTAAATCCTTACTACTCCTATCTCTTTGTTTGGCTAACTTATACATATATCTTTCTCCCTCTTTAGTATCTAATCTATTATATAAATCACTAAAAGCTAATGCCTTTGCATCGCATATTACTTTCTTAGCATCCTTACGAGCCATTTTATATATTTCTCAATTATCATAATTTTTAAAATTAAACCAATTTTTATAACAAAGCTTCTTATTTTTAATTTTTTCTTGCACATTAGGATTCCACCACCAACTATTTTTACTATTGGGAGCTTTTCCCTTTGATACTCCAAGGACATCTTTTGCAATATTCTTAATATCACTAGCCACTTTTTCCCACATAATATTAGCATCCTCATGCACAGACAAAATCTTACGATCTAAAATCTTATCTCCAAAAATATTTTTGTTAATATTCTTTAAATGCCCCCATTTAATTCTAGAAAATTGTTTTACTTTATTTTTTATTTTATGCCCCTTTATCTTAAAGTCCAAAACTAATAATCGATGTTGGGTACATAAATTTTCACTCGGAATAACTTTACATTCTTTGCAATCTAAACGATTTAATTTTCTAATAAGAAAATAGTCAATCTGGGTTGTATTATATCCATTTTTATAAGTGATGAGATGCTCATTCCTTTTCTTAAATAAAGTATTCGCAATTAAAAAATCATAAGCTAAACAAAAATCCAATATGGTCTTGCCACCTTCATTCGTCGTTCCAAATCCATGTCCACCATGAATGCTTTTAAAATCATCTACCTCTCTACCAACATGTCCATTTAAATCTCCTCCGATAAAAACTCTTTCTTCGGTATCTTTTGTATTAATTCTTCTAAGTCATTCAAAAAATTTAATTTATAACTCATATCCAAACCTACTTGAGGAGCATAAGCACTTATAATATTAACAATCTTATCATCAACAATAATCTTTAAAGCTATAATTCTATCTCCAATCCTATTAATTTTTATAACATTATCCTTTAAACTCTTATCTATAATAACACCTACACCATTTCTAGTACGACTCCTACCCGAATACCAAAGTTTAAATCATAAACTATCAATTTCCTTAGCTTTCTCTCCAACCCATTTAGTTTCCTGAATACACAAAATATTTAACTTCCTATGAATCATAATATCTGTTAATTCCATTAATTTTCCTGTAAGGGAACCTATATTCCAAGTTTCTATCCTAATTTTAGTTTTATGGACTAACTCCTTTGCCCACATCCGTCCTTGATGTGGGAACCCTTGCCTATTTAACACTGCACCCGGGCGCCAGTACAGCGGCCCTTGCACACTTATCACTGTATTCAAGCCATACAGTGCGTCGCTTCCAGGGATGTCCTAACATTAACACAATTTCTTAAAGGATTCATATCATTATTGTTCGACAAGTTTTACGCTAGTTGTCGACTACCTAACGCAACCCTCCACTTTTCTCATCCAGGACTTGGGACCTGGCAAAATAAAGAAGCATATTTAATATTATTTAAATCAAGTATGTAAATGTTGTTAATCCACTTTTTCTATAAAATAATATTATTATTCAAGCTAATAATGTATGTATTTGCCAAAAAAATTATAATAAAGCCTTTATCATAAAGTTGACTGATGCTGAGCAAATTGTGTTTCAGTCTATCTACAAGCAAAATATTTTCAATCAAATTGTGCTTGGAGTTTTTGATTATACCTGTGTCCACCACTTTCCTAGTGGTGTTATCTCCAAGAGTAATCTTGCCTCTAGCCCTGGCCTCTAGTGAAATGAATTGATTAGTGTCTCCAGACATGTGTCATGAGCATCCTCTATCTACGTACCACATGCTCTCATGAGGTCTTTTCTGAGAGCACACCTACAAAATCATCAAATGATAGATTTAGGAATCCAAATAAGTTTGGGTCCATGCTTATGGAAAGAAGAATATAATACATGTGTGTTATGATGTGAATCATGTAATTTGGGTCTCCATACCCAATATGTACTACGGTGAACAATACAAGTGTGTGAGATGTGTCATAACATGCCACATAAAAAATATCTAACACCAGGAAAAGGATTAACTAATTTACTCAGGTAGTGATGTATCTTCTTAAAGTTGTGTGATGCATGCAATGATGGTTTCTCATTTTTAGATGCTATGACTTTTGCTTTTAACTCTTTATTTTATATTCATAAGCTGTCACTTCCACTTTTAACTGATATTCAATATTATCTATTTCCTATGCAAGTTCCTCTAATTTCTTAAATTCTTTTTCTAACTCAACTTGTAATGATTTCAAGGAATCATGTTTATCAGATAATTAAATATGCTTCTTGTTTAATGCATCATATTAATCAAGTAATGGCATGTGATTGGTATCAAGTGTATAGTGATCTTTAAACAACACTTCATGCTCCTTTTGCAAATTTAAAAGTTCTAATTTCAAGCTAGCATGCAATTTCTTAAGTTTCTAATATGATACATGAATTTGTTCGAAAACTTCAAGTAATTGATTGTAAGTTAGTTCACATGCCTCTTCTTGGTCAGACTGATCAAGATGATTATCTGCCATCAAACATAGGTTTGTTGTTTCCTCTTCAGCTTCAGCTCAGAGGAGTCAGGTTGGATCGACTATCTCCTCTGACTAAGTAGATAGGGACCACGATGGCCCGGGACGACAAAACCATGAGATCTTGATCGGGCTTTAACTGCAAGATGGTGAAATTTCTAATTATAAATATTAAATTTCCACATATCAACCTATTCTTCTACTATACACCGGATATCATATATCTACAAATATGACGCGTTCATTTGACGACTAGCCTTAATCGAAAGTTATCTATCATTATCGAGAGAGGCAATTAACTATAGGGTCTCGCGCCTATTGGAAACCAGAACTCATACCATAAAGTCCTCGTATAATGAGGGTGAAATCTCTCGGTATGTCTTATTTCGAACCCAATCTGTCTTCTGAAAATTTACCCCAAAACTTAATTCGTTAAAACTCTCACGAAATCAAAAGAGGTTGGGCCACGAATTCTCAAAGCATGCACTTTTTACTGTTTTTAAAATTAATTTTTTATTTGAACTAAATTTTAATTTTTAAAAATAGTCAAAAAAAAATCGTCCCAAATAAATCGTGAGCCACGCTTGTGAGTTGTGGCTTTTGCAAGTGCGTGAGCTTGCGTTAAGTGGAAGCAAAAAAAGTATATATATTGTGAATTTAACTATTTAAACTTATATCGGAATATAGGAGGAAGTTTGTATGATTTTTTTTTTTTTTTTTTTTTTTTTTTTTTTGATCGGGTGCCCAATATAAGTCTTAAGGCCCATCACACGCATCACATAACCGTGCACTAAACTGTGTTAGACTGATGTAGTATATACATTTTACATGTACATACAGAATCTGATTCTCAATTTTGCCATCTTCCCCGTCGAAAAGAGTGGAAGTTCAAGAATCTCAGCGTTCATGCGTTGTGAAGTTTATTCGCCATGGATGACTGTCCCTGTAACTCTATCATCTTGTTTAGTCAGTCAACTTTTCTTCAGCTCTTCCTCGTTGGGAAATGCCTTTCATACACCGCTCTCCTGCTTCTGGGCTACATCTCTGCTACAAGTTTTAGCTTATTTTTGCTTCGATTGGATGCGCATGCGACCCCCATGAATTCCTTTCTTGCGGAATCCTGGTGGCTCTACTCTGGGGTTACTTTGCTTTGGGTGGTGAAAAAACAAGGAATCTGAGCTGTTCTACTCGACGGGTCATGTAATCGCATCCCATCTCTACGCATGGAATCCTTCTTCACCTCATCCCCGCCTCTCTTACTTCCTAATTAACATTAAGAGCATCTTCTCCTACCTTTGTTAGTTGGTACCGTCATGGCTGAGTTCCTCCTCCTCCAACGACTAGTACCTCAAGCAGCTAAACATTTGTTTTCGAAGAGGAATACAACTATGCTGCAGAGTACGAGTCTTAATGGAAGGCTTGGAATGATGCCCGTCTTTGTCTTCTTCTGTTCTATGCTCTTTCTACCTTTCCACCAAGGTAAGCTTTCCCATCAACTTTACATGGAATTTCAGCAAAGCTTTTTAGTTTTTTGGGTTTGGGAAGGTGAAAAAAGTATTTGTCCAAGTACATGAAGTTGTAATTTGAAGCGGGGCTCTCCTTTCCCTGAGCTCTCTCTTAAACCTACATGGTTGAATATTTGTAACTTAATGAAATCTCTATCCACCATCATCATCATCATCATTATTATTATTATTATTATTTTGTAATTTACCAATCTCCTTCAGACTGTTTCCTCGATTTAGACCATTATGGCTTCCTAACCGTTATGCTGAAGCCCACTCTCTTGTGCCATAATAAGAAATGTAATATGTCAGAAATGTTCTTGTTTCATGTACTTTCTTTTCTGCTTCTTCCTAGATGTCTCTGAGGTGAATGGGATTCTCAAGTAACGTTTCTTATTCTTGCTTTAGTAGTATATATATGAAACCAAAATAATTGCATTGTAAAAAAGCTTTTTATGCCCCATTTCAGGACACTTTTCACAATATATTCTTAAACAAAATACCAAATTATAATACTCCGTATGCTTTTTCATTTTTTTCAAATTATTTGTATGTGCTTAAAAGACTAGGTTATTTGCATGTTTATCCTTAAGATGGTAACTTCTTCTATAATTCTACCAACTCTCAGTCATCGCATAGTGATTTTTCTACTAGTATATAATCCTTTTATAAATAAGCAGGATTTTGCTTGCACTATTTTGATCTTCTTTTACTGCCTGCACTATAGGTTAAGTTTTGAATTAGTTTGTTTATATTATGATGCCTTGCATGAGAGGTGGTAGGTTATAAAACTAGTATTACAAGTCTAGAATATTGGACCAAGGCATATGTACCTTCATTTGATGAAAAACTATAACAGATTACTTGAAAATTATATATTATGATAAGGATCTGGTTGCAGTTTTTCTGTCAATGTTGCAAATCAAAATTAATTACACACCATCATAATAAAACAAATACATGAAATATGAATTGACATTTCCTCCGTATATTCCCTTCTTTTCTGATTGTTCAGAAATCATATAAAAGCTTAATATAAAACAGACAAAAAGGTGCTCTTCATGTCAATATTCAAGGTGAGTATTATGTTTTGAAAGAAATTCTTGCGTTGGAACATACTTAATAGAGTCTTATATATACTAGAAGTTACTTTGTGCCTCTCAGCTATTAGCCAAGCAAATTTATCCGCTAAGCTTAAGTGCATCTCTTTGTAAGCAAATGCAAAATTTTCTTTACGTTATGTTGTTCAATAAATATGTTCCTTGCATAGCTCAATTGCCAATATACAGAAGTCGTTTCTTCCATTTAAACTCTTGAACTTTTTTTTATATATATATATAAAATGCTTTTTTGCCACATTAATTGAAGCTGACAAATTTATTTACCAAAAAATGGTTATGTTTTAATATACTCCAAGAGGTGCAGGAATTTGTGACCATGGCAAAAGCTTATTCTTACTGATTTCCTTCTCTTCTAATTTCAAATTAACAATGAAACAGAAGCTATGATCAGCAAGCTCGTGCATTTTGAATGCTAAAACAAATTTATTACAGGCATACTGACGGCTCATGCGTTTACTGGTACTTATGGGATAAACTATGGCAGAATTGCTGATAACATTCCTGCTCCTGAAAGTGTTGTGACACTCTTGAAAGCAGCAAGGGTGAAAAATATCAAAATCTTTGATGCGGACCATAGTGTTATTCAGGCATTTAAGGGGTCTGGACTTGAGTTGGTTATTGGAATTGGGAATGAGTATCTTAAAGATATGAGTGTAAATGAGGAGCGCGCCATGGACTGGATTAATGAGAATGTTCAGCCCTTTGTACCTGGAACCCATATCAGTGGAATTACTGTTGGGAATGAAGTGTTAGGAGGAACAGATCAGGAATTAGAGGAAGCTCTCATGGGTGCAATAAAGAATGTTTACAGTGCCCTAACCAGGCTTCAACTTGCAGATACTATTGAGATTTGGACGCCACATTCTGAGGCTGTTTTTGCTAATTCTTATCCTCCTTCATCATGCATCTTTAAAGATGATGTTTTAGTTTACATGAAGCCCATTCTGGACTTCTTCTCACAGCATGGTTCCCCTTTCTACGTCAATGCATATCCATTCTTGGCTTACAAAAGTGATCCTGAGCATATCGACATTAACTATGCTCTCTTTCAGTCAAACTCTGGAATATATGATGCGAAGACTGATTTGCACTATGATAATATGTTTGATGCTATGATAGATGCTGCTTATGCTGCTCTGGAAGCTGCAGGCTATAATGACATGGAAGTTCGGGTTTCGGAGACAGGATGGGCTTCTAATGGGGATGAAAACGAAGCAGGAGCTACAGTTCACAATGCAAGGACCTACAACTATAATCTGCGTAAGAGGCTTCTAAAAAAGAAAGGGACTCCACTTAGGCCAAAAAAGGTGGTCAAGGCCTATATCTTTGCATTATTTAATGAGAATTTGAAGCCTGGACCAAGTTCAGAGAGACACTATGGACTTTTCAAGGCGGATGGCAGCATTTCATATGATATTGGATTCACCGGGCTTAGGCCATCATCTGCTTCTCCATCTCTAGCCTCCCTCAAGGTATTTTTATATTTCATACATCATTGTGGATTGCCATTTGCCTTGGTATCTATGTTTTGATCTCTCTTTCCCTATCCACGTATTTTCCTGACCATCTAAACCATTAAATATTTTAGTTTTGGCTTTTCTTTCTTATTCCCTCATGCACTAATGAACAACACTGAAAGATTTTGACTCCAAAAATATTGCTCCGAAGTCACCCAAAAGTGGTGTGAATGTATTTTCCTACCATAATTTATCAATTCTTGCACCAGAAACACAACCAAGCAATTGTTTCTTTGCAATTCTATTAAAATGATCTTGAAAGTTGTCCTTTGCAACTCTCTTTTCAATCTCCTTATTGTCTTTTTCAGGAACTTAATGCTAGATGTTGGTCAAGGCCCTATTTTAGGGTGGTTGCAACATGTACCATTGTTTTGCTTCTTGCTTTAATTTGTTAAGGTGACATTATTTCAACTACGGAAGCTATGTGCCAGTAGTCTACATGCATGAACGAGCGAATTGAACCTTGTAAACAACATTCTATGTATTGTGTTTGAAATGCCCAATTGTACTCTTTGAACTCTTGTAGCTGTTCATGTCAAAAATATTGATTCATGCTCAAAATTATTGTTTTACTCCAATATATAACTGGGGCATTATATGTCGTTATCAGTAGATAGAGTTGATATATTAACAATAGAAATTCATATACTTATGTATGGTTTTTTATAATGGAAGGGGTTCTCTCTTTATTTATTATAAGGCTCATTAAAGTTGACAATATTTGGATGTTCAGTTAAAATCATCAGTGAATGCGCTTTGGGAAGGATGAGATAGTTCCAAGTTTACAGTTCTGCTTGTTTTGGCTTCTAAGCAGCTTCAAAAAAATTTCATGCTTTATGTATCAATCAAACGAAAGCTCTTCTCTTTAACTTTGATGCTTAAGATTGGATTCTAATATGTTTGTGAATGATATTTGATCTTACTAGTAGACAATCTTTAGAAACTAAAACTTAAAAACTTAGAGTTAGAATGAGTAAGGAAGGAAATTATAAAATGCTAAAGTAAATCATTAATGCTCTAAAAAATCTAAAATGTGTTTTTCACCATTTATTTATAGAAATTGGATTTAGTATGAATAAGAAAGGAAATTTTAAAAATGCTTTAGTAAATCCATAATGCTCTAAAAAATCTAAAATGTGCTTCTTCATCTTTTATTTATAGGAATCGGAATTAGTATGAGTAAGGAAGGAAATTATAAAAATGCTTTAGTAAATTACTAATGTTTTAAAAAATCTAAAATGTGTTTCTTCACCTTTCATTTATAGGAATATGTGGGCTACAGAAAATATTACATCAAAAAAAGATAAAAAAAAAAAAGGTATATCATGCATTATGGCCCATTGTGGACTATAACTAACAGATGTCATGCTATGATAGGTGTTTAAATGGTTCTTCATCCATGGTTAAATCATATACTAAGGGCAAGTCTTTGAGGATGAGCAAGTAATGATATCCTCCTAGGTAGTTTGAAGAGTCGATATGGTGAGTCTTTTGGGCATACCAGTAAGTCTATATATATATGATTATTATGTTGTTAAAATGTGAAGGGCGAATATCTTTGGGTTATGATAATCACAAGCTGAGAACTTGGCAAGTCTAGTGAATCAGATCCTTTATCTTCTAAGATTCTCTTTTCCCATAGCTATGTTAATGCACCAATGATGGCTTACCAGTCTGGGTGACATCGAGTATCCTTAGGGGACTATCCCCCGCTAAGTAGAGAGACCTAGATTGGATTTATATGAGTTCCTTGCAACTGCTATTGACCACTCTTTAACTTGTTTGGCTTCAGTCAGTCATGTCCCTTAGTCGTTGAGAGCCCTTGGAGAGCAAGGTGATCGTTCCAATTTGGCTCTTGTCACATGAACAAATTAATGCAGCGCATAATTAGGCCCATGCCCATATTCTATTTTTTGCTCAGTATTCGATTATGCACTCAGCCTCCACTCTCTCTGAACTATTTGGGTTAGTAGGAAGTTTTAACCACTTTTTGTTGGTTATCATATTAATGTTTGATTAAAAAATATAGTTTTGAAAAAGTTTAATTTTCTTAAGTTTCACCCCTATTAGGTGTGTGTAGAATTTTTTATAATTTTTCTAAGTTGACTAGACCTTGTCTTTAATTATTTTTCCTAGATGATACTAGTGTTCCAATGGGTTTGAAATCAGGTGTACCTAACCCTTACATAAATTTAAACACATCAAAGCAATCATGCACCCTAATTCTAAAGATCTATGGAGTTATGAATTTTCAAAGTTTTGGGTCCAAAATGGACCTTTTTCCTTAAAAATTCACATCACAGAAATCTATTGAGTATCTGACCCTAGAAAAATAACTGAACATGCCTAAGATACCCAATAATCTTCCACCAAAATTTGGACTCCAGTTGACAACTAGATTATGAGAAAATTGCAAAAAATGAAATTCAAATAACCTCAAATATCTCACAATACAGAAATCAAATCAACTTAATTTTAATTTAAATAATACTAGATTAAATTATCTTTCCAACGAGCCTAAGAACGTCCCATTTGGTGGAAAATTTAATTTTCTGTGAATTTTGGAAGATTTGAAGCATTTAAAACATTTTTAATTTGATTCTGGGTCAAATCAGTCGCCGGACAATCATTGGCTGCAGCGACATGGCGGCGCAGCTTGGCGCCTCATGTCAGATCCTGGACGGATCACTTATCCACGTCGGATCCAACGATCCGACCGTTGAATCAAAGAGCAATGAGATGGACGGCCGGATTGCCGCCACATCATCTCCATGATCGTAGAAGGACTCACGTCCGAGTCCCAAGAAGAGCATTGTGCAGGCTACGAGGTGACGCGGCCATTTCTGGGCTGTCTGATCGTGCCTTCAACCAGAGCTAAAGAAGTTCAAATATCCATATCTTTCACAATACTCAACGAAATTACACGAAATTTGAACTGTAGCTAAATGGCAACATGATCTAACAATGCCTGGAGTTTGGAGGCTCCATGCATTGTAGATTTGCTATGGTTTCAAATTTAAAATTTAAATAAAAATGAGAATAACTTACAATCCAACCGTTGGATTTTTTGACTTCTTGGGCTTGTTGGAAAGATAAAGATGCCCTCTTCAACTTTGTTGAAGACTTCAAGAGCTGGATCTGGCTGGATTTGAAGTTATTCTTGAATCTCATGATTCTCTCTCTAGACTATCTCTCTTCTCCAATGAGAGTTTGGAGGCCATGATTTGGTGGGGAAAGGCTTGAAAAAGCTAGAGCAATGCCTGGAGAAGGTTTTTGGAGGGTTTTTGGGGGCTGGAATGGCTTTGGATGAGAGGAATTAACTGAGAGAGAGCTTAGGGTTCAAATTCACTCAATTAGGATATTTTGCCTATTCAAACCACCCTAGGGCATTTGGATAGCTGGGATCAACCAAGGGGCTTGCTGGGATGTTGCCATGTGTCTCAGAAGTAGGTAGGAGTAGGGAATCAAAGGACACAAGGACAAGCCTAAGTGAAAAATGTCCTTTTTCCTTTTAAAGCAAATAGGTATAGTATGGGTCATTTGATATAGATCTAAGGGTTGAGAATAACCCTAGGAGGGTTCTAGAACCTGAATAAACAGCTGAAGAGGCTTAGAGATTGAGGCATTAAGCCTAAGAGGTCATTTGACCAAGTTTGACCATGCATAATGCCTTAAATTGACTATTTGACCAGTTAATGTCCAGGTGGACTGATGAGGTGGCATGGAGAATATTTTGAACAGCTGGTGGAATGGGTTCAAAGTAATTTAAATGGTTGAATTGGATATAGGAGCAAGATAGTGAGTATACAAGTTTATTTGATCAAGTCCTAATGAGTTGACTTGGTCAAATTCACTTGGATTTGATTTACCAAGGTTTGAAGCATTATTTGGAATTGATTTGACGCTTGAAATATCAAATGAGTTAAAATAACCCATTTAAAATATTAAGGGGTATTTGGGTCAAAAGGGTCAAACTGTTCAATCAGGCTTGACTAGGGTCAGGGTTTGAGTCCATTGCACTCCTATGGGTGATTAGGATGCATTGAAATATGTCTTGAAGTTTAACTTCAAAAGGGCATATTAAAGTCTATGAAAAATCCCAAAATTGCCTTAAAGGGACATTTTGGTCATTTTGACCCCTGGTCAACTGGGGGCAAAGTGAGTCTAAAAAAAAACATTTTAATATTCAATGGGTTAGGATTAAGGGTTTGGAAGTGATTGGAGGCTTTTTAGAAAGCTCCAAGGTCAAAATCCACTGGGTGGCAGGTATAGTGGCATAGGCTGTAAATATTTGAAGGTTTCACAACCTTTAGATTTCAATTCAATTTCTCAGGTTAGAGACCTCAGAATGGGCTTAAATTTGAATAGTTACCTCTAGAGACATGTCTTATCAATGTGCAAGTGACAGACTCTGAATCAGAGGTCTTTTGGTTGCGTTTTGAAGTGTTTCAATATTCATTGAAAAAGGCTTTTAGGATTTGGACCTTTTGCCTTATATTTGAGTTTGGATTGATTTAAGATCTAGGTAGATCCTAGGGCTTGAAATCTAGGAGAATCCTAGAGTCTAGAAGTCCTAGGGTCTAGGGTCTAGAAGAATCCTAGGGTCTAGAGTAGATCTTAAGGTTTGGAGTCTAGAAGGATCCTAGGACCTAGAATAGATACTAAGGTCTAGATTTGTCTGGAAGAATCCTAGGGTCTAAGATAGATCCTAAGTTCTGGACTGATTTGGAGTCTGGAAGGGTCCTTACTGACCTCATACAAAAATGAGGTCAATAATTAATAGTAAGTATAGAAAATACTATCTCAAGGAAAGGTATACTTATACGCCAAGTGTAAGGAAGAAAGTAGCTTTTTATCATATTACAAAATATATAGAATACTGTTCTAGGAAGATCTTTCCATGTTCTTTAGTTTTCTTTGCTTTTCATGTGGTTTCAGGTCTCTTCCAGTGGTTCAGTTGCTGCTGCCGATCCGTGGGTTGCATCAGGTTGGTATTAGAGCCGAAGCAGCGGGATGACAGAAAAAGGCAAGGAATAGCTGCAGAGGAAAACCGAAGCCTAGAATCGTTGTGGCAAACCAGACGAACATCACCTGACAACTGGAAGTGTTATCCACTTATGTTCAATGCCTCTCCGTCGAAGTATGCTGTGAGTTCAATCTCAACCGGACAAGGACAACACCCCATAATCCTCATCGAGTTTAGGTACCATCTATGATTCCGGGAGCGCGGCGTGGTGTGGACCTTGATTGTCTAGAGCATCTCCTTCCCCCACCGACACAAGAATTCTCAGATTCTTAAGCTGATTTGCAATGGCAGGGAGGATTAAATATGGGCGTCTCTGAAGATGATGAATGCAGCGACAATAATGCAGAATATTACAGAAGGGTTCGACACCCACCTTATCAGAGGAGCCAAGCTGAATTTAAAGTTAAGGTAGATATACTTTATTTTGATGGGCACCTTCACATAGAAGATTACTTGGATTGGGAAAAGGTGGTTGAAAATTTCTTTGATTACA